TGGCGAGCGCAGGAGGCGGGGTTTCCGTTGCTTTGCGCCCTTTTTGGGCGCGCACGGGTTTTCGCACTTACTGGCAACTGCTCCCAACTCCTTTTTGCAAGGTGCCGCCAGCATTTTTCCTCCTCCTAGCCTTTTCTCATAGGGAAAGTGTTCAAGTTACTTGATCATTTTTATTGCCCATTTCTCACTTTTCTCTGTTCTATTAATGTCCTTTTTTTTTCAATATGGAGACCACATACATATGAAAACAGCCAAAGTAAACACCACAGAACACATAATTAAAATTAGAAATTCACAATTTATTTCAAATAAACAATTTCAGGAGGGGAAAGTTAAAGGGCTCTTTCCTTTGCCCTCTTCCCCTCCTAATGCCGGAAAAGTGTTGGCAGTTTCTTGAGATTGCTTTGCCCCATATCTCAGTGAGGGACAGAGCAAAGGCAGCCATGATAATGTAGCACTCTGCGTAATAAAAAAAAGCTTCCATAGCAGAAGCTACTACCTGAAAATTTGGAACAGTCCAGACTTGAGCGAGCACATAAGAGTTTTTCTACAAAAAGTTACTAAAGTGAAGTTGAATTTTGAAAAACAAACACAAATTTAAACGAATCAAGACAGTACAGTAATGAAAAGTCTTCAGTTCTTCCTGTAACACTAGCATGGCATTAGGTGTTAAAAGAACAATTGTGATTACTGCTACAGAATGAATGCTAGAAGAATACAAGCATAAAACTGATTGCAGAATCTCTCCCTTATCTGCATAGCCTCTACTGCTGTCTGTATGAAAGCTTTTGATGTATACAGAATTCTACTGGACAGGAGAATTGGATATTACCTACATGCCTTCGGTGTTTACTATCAGGAGTTGGTTACTTGCCTTAGCTTTCTGTACCTCTCTCTTACAAAGGAGGGAGGCAATTCGTGAAAGGGAATTTTAAAAGTAAGCCAAACTAAATGAAATAAACATTGCAATCAAAGGTAAGCCAAGCCAACAATCTAATGTGCAGAGTGAAGGATGAAAATAGCTGCCAGGTTGGCTTAGGCTAAGCCTGGTGGAACAAGAGGAAGACAAAAGCTCCTAGTATAGGATGTTAACCTGCAGTGAGGGAAATGCAGTGCTTACCTAAATACTTGGCTTAGATGCCTTTAATTATAGTCTGTTCCATCACAAAGTGAAATTTTCTAAAAAGAGGAAATAAGGTTTTTATTGTAGATTAACTTTGAAAAATGCTATTGTCTTTTTATTGAGTGAAGATAATATATTTCTAGAGGAAAGGCTGTTTTTTGCCAATGATAAAAACTTTTAGATAGCACCCAATCATTGTGCTGTTCTAGAACACGGAAGATATGAAAAAGAGGTAGGGAATCCACTGATCTCTAAACTCTGGGATGAATCTATTGATTCCAAATTTAGGAGCAGCTGTGCGGTAAAACTAATTGTGTCTGTCACCTATCAGCTGAGCAGAACCCTCCTCTGCAGCCATTTCCCCCCAAAACCTGGAGGACGCAGAGGGCCTACACAGAGACCAGAAGGTGAGAATATTCTGAGCAAACAGAAGCCTGTCCTCAATATGCTGCATTAGGTGATGTGTTGATTATATATCACATCTTAATATCAATGCGAGATTGGATCTAAGCATCTGATCAATTTGCCAAATTTTGGAGACAAAGATGAGAAAACTTTGAGCCACAGCAAGTTCCAATTGTGCTACTGTAAATTCAACCAGCTGCAGGTATTTGCCAGTTGTAAGCAAGTGACATCACTCTTTTGCACTGGATAATTCTGAACAAGAAACGTGTATGCTTTAACTTAAGTTAATTTCATGAGCAAAACAGCTCAGTCTAAACTTTAAACTTTCAAGATAAAAAGATGCTCACCTCTCTCAAAATCTGAACTTTGTGTAAGCAAGCAAGGAGGTCAAGTCAGCATTACAGAGAAAGTTAGGAAGTCAGCATCTTTCCCTTTTGAGGTGCCAATAATTTTGTGCTAGCACTGAACAGAATGAACGCAAACAGTTCTGTAGTAAGCAGTGTCTCACACACACATTGAACATTTTGCATTTGCTAAAAGGTTTTGTCTGTTTCTAAGTTGCAACGCCCAGAAGTGGACTTCATGCAGAAAAATTAAAACATCTAAGCCAGAAAAACAAGCATGATCTCTGTTTTTGACAGAGATATGGATTAAAAGAGCAAGCCTGCTGAGGTCATCATACCATATATGCTACAAGAGTCCAGTGGAATAGGCAAAGGGAAAGGTCAAATGGAACAAGAAACTACAAAGAGCAGATGTGTATCTGGGTAGAGCTCAGTTTCTCTCTGCTTCTCAAACTAGCTTTTTACTTCTCCCACCCACTTGCTTAATCTGAGGTTAACTGGGAGCAGAGAAGCTGTATTAGGACTTGGGGTCTAGAAAACAAGCAGGAGGTGGGTTTATCATTTTCCTTGGAGTGCCTGAGGTAGTAGTGGCAGCAGCAGCTGAAAGGGAAGATGACGGCATGGCTGATGACCTCCAAAAGCTAGGACAAAATCTAAAATGCTAATAAAATAGTTTTCACAGAAAGGCCAGAAAAGCAGGTGTCATAAGCAGAAAATAATGATTCTGGTAAAGCTTTCTAATCCAAACCCCAAAGGTCACAAGCAGTGCACACAGGAGATCTCAGTGCAACATGCTCTTGTAAACATAGATGCAAGGAAATTCTCATTTCAGGCCATCAGTTGGAGCAACTTCAGGAAACAGCAGCTCCATCTTCCTCTTCTGAGTAGACTATCAACATAACCAAGTATGTTCTTTATATACTTTATATAGCTATTTTTACACATTTTTAAAAGCTGGCTTCTAATATGAAGTGTTGACATTAACACACATTTCAAGAGTTAATAAACCTCTGCCAATAAGCAACCACCTATGAATCTTAACAGCAATTATGGACTATTCCCAATGTTTTCACTGGTTACTTTTCAGCTAGCAGTAGAACAATTTCTAGAACAGTGGTGGATGTTTAGCAATGGGCTA